GTTTCAGGTATTTGCATTAAAATTATTTTGAAGATGATTTCCCCCCTTGTATTAATTTTAATCCTCAGGGTCAGCTAACACTCGCCCCTGCAAGGCTATATAAAAAAATGAAGGAAAACTTTGCTGTACAAAGGTTTTATTTTATAATACTTTCAATAGCTATCTCAGGGCGCTTGGGGCAAAGGTTGAGCTTTTGCCGAGGACAAGTTTATCAGATCGATGGCCTTGGCTTAATTTGGATGATATAGAAATTGCTACTTATGGTGCATTTTTAAATAATATTTATTTGCCTAGGTTATGAAAACGAGGGTTGGTTTGATTCTTGGTTGCTGCTAAAGGCACTTAGAGCTAAGGCACATAGTATCGGTATTAATTACGTCGTGGGCGAATTGCTTAGCTTCGAAACTACTGATACACTTATGCAAATGGGATTTCCTGACAGACCGAGACGTTCCCCTGTAGTTGGTTCGATTATCAGAAGAGCTATCGTATGTCAAATCTCCTTATGTTCTCAGATAAATTCATTTAACCATGGCAATACAACTATAGACTTTGCTGAAATCGTAAATGCCGCTGGTCCATGGTCTACAGACATTTGTAATATTATTGGCGCAGAGAGCTATAGCTTACCTTTTTATCTGCCTATTGAGAAGAAGTCAGTATTTAAAATGATTTTACTTCCATTTGTGCATCTTTGTATTATTCGTTAAAGTTAAAGTTCATTCTCTTTTTAGGCGTCGGTTTATCTTCATTATAAGTCCATCAGTATTGGCAGGAAATGCTTCGAGGGTGTTACCAGGTCTCGACACACCAATGATTGCTGATTCTTCGGGTATACGCATAAGGCGGCATGAACTTACTGGAGATTTCGTTGTAGAAGCCGATGAATCTGCTCTAACGGCTGATAAAATCAACTCTTATTCTGAGACTAAATTTTCTGCAGTTAATACTCAAGATATGATAGGACTCGTAAGTTTAACTATCCTAACATATTTTTAATAACACAACTGGTTCACAAAGATCTATAATTAACTTGAAGCACTTTCTGTATAATTTTATTTTTGAAGATGGCTGCATTTATAGTTTTTATCTGCTTTAGGTTAGCTGACATTAATTTGGTTTAATTTTTGATCTCAATATCCTATCAATAAAAATGTTAGCTCCCTTTGAATTCAAATTCCCTAAACTAAGCTTGTTCTCTTAGTAGGTTTGAAAAAATTTAAAGTTTCTATTTGATAGTTAATATTTCCT